TAAATAAATAAATAAAACTCATAAAATCAATGTAAAATATTTGTTCACTTTGCCTAGAAGTAGCCTCAAAATTGCTGTAACAGCTCATATAAATGCAAAAGGTGTATTGAGTCTCTCTGGGAATAAACAGCCCATGTTTAGCATAAAGGTTGACATTATTTCCCTTAATACCTTGAAAGTCTATTCTATCTCAGCATCAGCATAAAAATAATTCTGCTTCTCACAGGTTTGTGTCCCTTGAGTGTTTTATGGGAAAGCATGCCCTTTTGCAAATGAGGCAAACTAGGCCTCAGCGGTAACTGACTAGCTTATATTTATGCAGCAGTTTACTGGTAGAGCCGGAACTGTGACCCAGGAGACCAGCTCCCAGGCCAGAGTTCATGCCACCACACTCCACTGCCTTGATGCAAGTGGGGAGCTACACAACAGACTGCAAAATCTTGTTTATTAATAATTTCAGATGAAAAGCAAAAAAAACTCCAGATTTAATTTGTAAAGTGGCAAGGGTGGGGGGAGGTTTACTGAATGGCCTTTGTTCTTAGCATGTAATGACTCTGGCTTTCTAAATGTCTCTTATTAAAAAGATCTAAGCCCAGAAATTTCTAGGTTGTAACTGCAATCATCTGACTAGTTAGCAACTTCAAGTATAATTACAGGAGTAACTCATCTGGGAATATAATTACTCTGGGCTCTCTTACACCACCGTGACCTGTGAGGTGGGGCCATAGAGCAGGCCGAGGCAGGGGCCCTTATCATGTCCAGGCTCGAGTGGGTTGTTGCTGAGTATCCTCAGAGGCTCACACACTCGCAGGCATTCACACACGATGATGTGCATTCTGGCCACTTTCTATCGAATAATCAAGGAAACGTGCATGATGATGGTTAGATTAGAAATGTACTCAGCTCCATGTTGCATTAAGGTCTGCATATGACTTCAGGTTAACTGAAGTGGTGTTTTCATTCTTATTTTTCTTACAATTGAAACACATATCTATGTAGGATCTATTATATTTTGAGTTTCAAGAATTCCTTTCCTGGTAGAAGAAACAGCTCAGCTCAGCTGTTGAAAATCACTCTCCTTTTTGAAATTCTATTTTCCTTTAATTGGTTACACTTATTTTGGCTATTCTTTTCAGTTTCTTTTTGTGTCTGCTCTTGTTTATTAAAATGCTATTAACCTACAGGATACTGATAAACAGTATAGTTATAGTTGATAGCACTGAAAATATTCCTGCAAGCTGTTTTGTTCCAGTCTTTTTCTTGTCACAAATACACCTTTTTCTAGTCTCAGTTTTTCTTAGTGGCTTTATTAACATGACAATAGTCCAAGATAAATATGTTAAAGTCATCTTGGACTCTTTGGTATGGGTTGACCAGTGTCTCCCAAAAGATGTGTTCAAGCACTAACTCCCAGGATCTGCGAATGTGACCTTGTTTGGAAATAACCTCTGCAGAAGCAATCAAATTAAAAGGTGGCTATCTGTAGGAGATAATCCAGTATGACAGTGTCCTTATAAGAAGGGGGAATTTGAACAATGCGTAGTAAGGGAAATGCCTTGTGATGATAAGAGGCAGAGAGAGAGGTGATGCAGCTGTGAGCCAAGGATCAAGAGCCACCACCAGATGCTAGGAAGAAAGCTTCTACGTGGAGCTCAGAGGGAGCATGGCCCACTGACACCTTCGCTGCAGATTCCTGCCTTCCAGAAATAGGAAAGAATAAAGTTTTAAGGAAAAATGCCAGGAGGGAAGGAAGAAAGAAGGGGAGGAGGGAACGCGGAGAGGAGGGGGAGAAAGGTGACAAATTAGATGACATAGAGACATGCATTTAAAAAATATGATATGGGGCCTCCCTGGTGGTGCAGGAGGTTAAGTCTCAGCACTATGAAGCTCTCCACAGCCTCTGCGGCATGAATTTGATCCCCAGCCAGGGAGCTGACCCACATGGGCCTCTTGACTAGCCCATTTCTCCTCTCAGTAGTGTGTTTCAGGGATCTGTCTGTTCTGCTTCCCACTCTGTCTCTGGTGAATTCTCTCACCCCCTGACCTCATCCTGTACCCCCATTCTCATATGCATAAATAAATAAATAAAAATAAATCTTTTAAAAAATAAAGTCTGGCTGTGGAGATTTAGCACGTTCATGGATCCCTCAAGCAAAGGAACTGAAACCCCGGCTGTGCCTGAGCCTCTTAGGGCAGGAAATTTTCACTTTTGTTCAGAAATCTTTGAAATAATAAGGAAAGGTTTTCTTTTCTTTTTTTAAAAGGGAATCATACAAACTTTTCATTAAGGAGTTTTGATGATTTTTGTCAACCATTTGAAACTAGGCAGAATGTAACCTCCCAATTTCAGCCAATTTACTGTCTGATTTGAACTTACATTTCTTCTGTCGCATAAAATGGCTGATCCATTTTAAATCCACTCTGAATGAGCTTATAGAAGTTCACATCAACTGGAATACCAGGGTAAGGGTTGACGCCTGAGGAAAACACCAGACAATATAACCATTCATTCTTTCTTTCTTCATTCGTTGGTTTATTCAGTCACTTCCTCAGTAGACACAGACTCGGCGCTCCCATTGCCCAGACACCACTGGGTGCCAGAACGCCACTGAGAAAGGCCCTGCTCTCAG